ATCATTGAATCAGTCCTTTTTAGACAGAGGTGCATGTTCTGTTCTCCAATGGATCTTAGACTCATTAACTCAGCCGATATTTAGTGAGCATTTTCCATAAACCAGGCATAGTAATTGCATGGAAAAAGAATGTGTATAGCAAAGAACAGTTTCTTCTCTGAAGGTGATCACAGTCCAAGTAGAGAGAGACAGAGAAATACATATAAAATTAACTCTAATAAAGTTTAATAAGTACTATCATATGATCTTAGAAAAAGAGCATCGGAAAACTAGATGAAATAATATATTTGAAATCCATCCTAGACAATACAAGTAACTCACATCACGTCATACCTACTCCCAAGGAATGAAATCTTATGTTTAGAGTTTCAAAGGAAATTATGTAGGTTGGGGGAAGGTGAAGAACAGGAAAAAAAGTTGAATTATGACTCAATTTTTTTTCATTGGTTGTATTTACTACAGCAGCTTTCATTTTATTTTGATCCTCCCAAGTTTCCTTTACTTTTTAAAAAATTCTGAATCCTCCATTATTATAGATAGGTAGATTTTTTGAAGATTTCCTTCTTAAGGCATGGCTATCTGTTTATAAATGTTATCCCTTAGCCTAAGTCTTCCTTCTTCTTCAGTCAGCCCTTCCCCACTCCTCACCCTAGCCCGAGGATTTATGGTCAGAGATTTAAAGATTAAGAGCTTCCTAATTATATCCAACTCTAGCAGGTTCAGGGAAGGAGCAGTGCTTTGGTAGAATTAGAAAGATTTCCTGGAATAACTTTTTCTGCCCCTAATACTGGCAAACAACTGCACCCCCCACCCCCACTCCATTTTAGACACCTGGGAGGCCAGCGGGCTTCCCTTTCGCCTCCAGCTTGAGAAGACCGTGCTAGCAGGATCCATAATTGGTGGTTTTATTATATTTTTAAGATCCCTGGGAATAAAGTTCCCATTAAAATATGTAAGCCTGTGATTCACTTTTCAGACACTGACCTTTCAGACAGTTTGGGGATTCTAGAAGCTCCTGCCTCATTGCCTCTGGGTAGAACGTAGTAGAGAAGGATGGCGTGGGCTGGTCATCACTGGTCATTGAGCCCCACTCACCCTGCAATTATTTTCTTTTTGTTCCAAGACGACTATAAAAGTTGTAGGTCGAGTTCTTGTTTTCAGTGTGTGCATTCTATTAGTAAAAAGGTGTGGCTTCTACTAATATATTTCTCTAACTGGATAAGTTCTAGAGCAAAATACACCCAGAGGGCTGAGCCCATGGCGCACTTGGGAGGGTGCAGCGCTGGGAGCGCAGCGGCGCTCCCGCTGCCGGTTCGGATCCTATATAGGGATGACCAGTGCACTCACAGCACTCACTGGCTGAGTGTGGTTCGGCCGGTCTCAAAAAGGACAAAAAAAAAAAATACACACAGAAACTAGAGTCATATAATCATTTTTGTATAGTTCCACACCTCTGCTTACATATTATGCTGATGTAGGGGAGAAAAAAAATTTTCTTCTCAATCCGTTTTAGGTTCAGTGGCTGGGGGCCCTGTAAGTTAAACTGGCCAGAGACAGATTAGCAAGAGAAAAGCAACCTGAAGTTTATTAGCATAAGCATCATGCTTACACATGAGAGCACTCAGTGATGAGTAACCCAAAGGGATGGATAGAACTTGGGCTGATAAACCATTGTAGGCTAAACAAAGGAAAAGAGGTTTAGGGCTTCTGGGCAGGGGAGGCAAGTTATGGGAAGGTGACAAAAAAAAAATTGTGAACAAGTGTTGTTTATTAAGGTTTGTCATGCAGATTTAAGCCTGTGCCTTCTCCACTGATAAGCGTTGTTAGTAGTCCACCTTTTCCTGGTATGGGAAAGGGAGACATCTCTACAAATGGAAATTTCTTTTACAAAGGAAAAACTTACACACAGTTTCTAGAGCTTTTCGTGAGTCTACTGGTTCTCAATGACTTTTAGCTCAAAATAATACCTGTGCAAAAGAGGCATATATGGGGTGGCATATTTCTATACCTTCACTTATTGTGCAGAGTAGACATGCACAGTGGACACTGATGACTTTGTATCTTTCTTTTCCTTTTTATGTCAAAGCACTAATTGGATCTTATGTTTTGTTTTTGAGGAGTACCAGAAACTTTCCCTTTTTTCTCCCTACACTATCAAATTAAGTAATAAACTCAGTTGCTACAAGACAGAGTAAAATCTTGTCTCAGTAATGAAAAATCTATATCATCCCCAAAATGTGTTTTCTTCTGAAGAGTCACTGTTAACCATAAAGTCACTAAAGTTGACTATTAAGTCACTGAGTTCTTTATAGTTTGTATGAATTAAAATAATTTCTGCTGCATTTAGATAGTAAAATATCTGGGGTAGCTCAAAGATTTACTTCCAAATAAAAAGTTTATTTCAGTAGTTGCAAAATGTAGGAAAAAAAATGCCCTATGTTCTATATGAAAGCACAGATGTGGTTTTACCTTATATTAAACTCCGATTTGCCTCTATTTCATGTATATCACATGCAATATTTTTTCTTAAAGTTGTTACATTTGGGAGGAGTGATTGGACTTACTTGAGTTTTAAACAGCAGCATTGAGAAATAATTCACATACCATGTATTTCACTATTTCAAAATGTACAATTTAGTAGCTTTAATGTATTCATAGAACTGTGTGGCCATCTTCATGGTCTAATTTTTAAACATTTTCATTACACCCCAAAAGAAACCTTGTACCAGTCATTCCCCAGAGCCCTAGGCAACCACTAGCACCATCTCTATAGATTTGCATATTCTGGCTATTTCATATAAATGGAATCATACAATACTTGGCTTTATTAGTTTCCTAGTGCTAAGGTAACAGATTACTACAAATTGAGTGGCTTAAAACAACAAATTTATTTTCTCACAGTTCTGGAGGCCAGAAGTGTGAAATCAGAAGGTCTGCAGGGTTTGTTCCTTCTTGGAGGCTCAGAAGGAGAAACTATTCCATGCCTCCCTCTTAACTTCTAGTGGTCGTTGGCAGTCCTTGGTATTTCTTGGTTTATAGCTGTACCACTTCAGTCTCTGCCTCCATCTTCACATGGCCTTCTCCCCTGTGCTTCTGTGCATCTTCATGTGTCTTTCTTATGAGGACACCAGTTATCAAATCAGGACCCTCCCTAATCCAGTATGATCTCAACTAATTACATCTGCAAGGACCCTGTTTCCAAATAAGGTCATATTCTGAGGTTCTGGTGGACATAAATTTTTGAAGACACCATTCAACCCAGAGCAGTGGCCTTTAGTGTGTAGCTTCTTTCTCTTGGCATAATTTGTCAGGGTTATCCATGTTGTAGCATATATCAGAACATTCCTTTTTATGGCCAATAATATTCCATTGTGAGGATATACCATGTTTTATTCATCCCTTCATCATTTGATGGCCATTTGAGTTGTTTCTACATTTTTGGATTTTGTGAATAATGCTGTTTTGAAAATTCGTGTACAAGTTTTTTTGTGGATATACGTTTTCGTTTCTCTTGGGTTGGATTTGTTTGACTTTTAACTCTGTCAAGTATAATGTACATATTTATGCCACTTTGTGGTAATGACTATTAGTTACTGAAATTTTAACAGCTGTTCTGTTAAAATGAATTGTGGTTAATTTTCTGCCTCTTGAATTTGTTTTGTATTTCAATGGCTTTTCAGTAACTCACCCTTGGGGAATTATGTTTTGTATGTAATATGTTTTCTTTTCTTTCAATTTATTTGGTGGAGATCTATTATTAGCATTAGAAAGAAAGCTGTCAGACTTTCACTTGCTGGTTTGTGCCCTTTGAGTAAGTAGTAATATTTAACTTTTTCAGTGACTTACAAAGCACTTTCTTTTTGGGCTGTCATGTAACCCTCCTTGCATTTCTGTGAGATCTGCCAGGGCTGCTGTTTATGGCTGCTGAATTTGGGATCTGATTGATTTCCTTTTAAAAGAGCAGTTGGTACTTAACTGTGAGGCAAGAGGAAGTCCTTCTTCTCGTTAATACCACAAATCTGTTGTTTTTACAGCCCTCCTTTCTCCAGGTGTGGAGAACCTGTATTAGCCACCAAAGACAGCTCATTAGCCTAGGCCAGTGAGTCCTAAACTAGCCTGCATCAAAATCACCTGGAGGGCTTATTAAACTGCAGATTGCTGGGTCCCAGTGTGAGTTTCTCATTCAATAGGTCTGGAGTGGGGCCTGGGAATTTGCATTTCCAAGAATTTCCCAAGTTATAGTGAGGCTGCTGATTCCAGCACCACATTTTGAGAATGGTAGGCCTAGACAACAAAATGGATTTCTTACTTTGGGTATTGTTGAAGCAGGGCTTCTCTAAATTTAGTGTGCATATGAATCACTGGCAGATACCATTAACTGGTCTGTTTCAGTAGGTGTGCGGAGATTCTGCAGTTCCAACCAGCACTCAGGTGATGCTAGTGCTACTTTGAGTAAGTGATAGGGGTTGAAAGAGTAGCAATGACTGAAATAGTTCTTTGTCTTTATACAACTTTAATAATCCTAAATTAAAATAACTCTGCCAGCTTTAAGCATATCAACAGGATATACCTTGTAATGTGTAGTGGAAGGATGCTCTGCAAGTTACATGGTTATTCTGGGAAACAAAATCAGCAGCCAGAATGGTCCAAATTAGACCCCAAAAGTAAATGGTTCAAACTTTTAACTATCATATTTAGAGTCAATTAAAATTCTCTAGTGTGATCTTTTAAATGTATGTTTCTAAGTTCTGAAATGTATGTTTCACAGGTCCTGAGATTGAACAAAATAGATTATTACAGGGATTCTAAATTCATTTTTTTAAATTAATGGAGTTCTCATATTTTTTTTTCTCTTGGCCTCTTGACAAATTAATGTAGCCTTGATTGTGTCAACTTTACAGCCTTACTGTTATGCATATTTTATACTTATTATCTAGAAAGATTATTGTTTTATGAAAACAAACATTCCATAAAATTAACTTTTAATTTTATCTTGGCAGGTCACTTACAACTTTAGGGTTGGTTATATCATCACTGGCTGACCAGGCAGCTGGCAAGGGTAAAAACAAATTTGTGCCTTATCGAGATTCAGTACTCACTTGGCTTCTTAAGGTAATTTATTGTTCTACTGTTCTTTTCTAACTAAAAATTGGTTTTTCAGGTGTGACATCTGAAAGGTGTGTGAAAAGCTAACCAAGTATATGAAGAACTCTCCTGACAACACTATTACCCCAACTCCTAGTAACACAGAATGAAAACTATTTTCTATTGCTTTTTATTCCATTATAATGCTATTCGATAGGCATAATTCGTTGTAGTGAGTGTAGAGAGGCCACATTCCACCTCGTCATAAAATTATTCATGACATACAAACCCATTTCCACATAGTGTGTTCTTCAGAGACAATAATGTCGTACATGTATATTTAATGCTTTTATCATATGTGTTGTGAATGGAATGGGATTTCTAAGATGGTATTTGAAATACTTTGCAGGACAATTTGGGGGGCAACAGCCAGACCTCTATGATAGCCACCATTAGCCCAGCAGCAGACAACTATGAAGAGACCCTCTCCACATTAAGATATGCAGATCGAGCCAAAAGGATTGTGAACCATGCTGTTGTGAATGAGGACCCTAACGCAAAAGTCATCCGAGAACTGCGGGAGGAAGTAGAGAAACTGAGAGAGCAGCTTTCACAGGCTGAGGTAAAATCAGCCTGGTGCTCCGTGTTTTGGAGTTCCCCTACTTGCATCTGACTGAGGATGAGCTTGCTTGTAGGTCTAGATCATTTCAGTGTGGTTGAACACTTCAGTGTTTATTGACATCTGCTCTGTGCTAAGTGTTGTGAAGACCAGCATGAGTAATACCGGACTCTAGGAACTTGCCATCAAGGAAGCAAATGAGATCATTTCTGCTACTACCTAATTCTTTGCTTCAGTAAATCATTTAGCTCTTAAACTTCCAATGTGAAATCCTAAGAACCAAATGTGTTGTTTTTATTAACATTGTAGACTATATTTCCTCAGAGCCTTATAGTTTTCTGAGAATTTAGTTAGGCATAATCTTCTTGTTAAGTCATAGAAATAACATGATCAAGGATAATTAAATATTAGGGATAATTCAGAAATTTCCTTTTGCTTTTTCATTTATATCAGCCCTGGCAAGAAGCATATCCATAATTTTGTGTTGTTACCATCTTTCCTTGGCTATACCCACACTTTAGTAACCACACACTCTTCCATATAGGTGTTGCTTTTTGCAGTTGATTGTGAGGCACTGTCTGATTTGAGCTAGGTTAGAGAACTGAGTTGGAGGCCGAGTGGCTTAGCTTAAGTCACATGCTTCCACATGCCAGGACTTGGTTGTGTACCTGACACTTTTAAGTTCACATTCCTTCACCATTCTCTTCTGAGTCCACTTTAGTTGGGAGAGTATTCAGCTGTGGAAAAAACAAACACCAAAGTTAATAGCCATGATTTTTGAGCACTTACCTGCCAAACACTGTTTAAATACTTTTCATCTATCAGCATATTTAATCAAAAAATAATCAACAGAAGACTAAGAAAATGAAACAAAAAGGAGGTGAAGCCAGGGATCTGAATACTTTATTAGTTGGTGATCTTGGCATTGCATTATAACTGTTTGTTTACATAGCTTTCTGTTAGTCCAGGCTGTGAGCTCTTAAAGTGCAAGAAGCGTTCTCTATTAATTTTTCCATCCCTAACCTCTAGTCTGACACTGACTAAGTGGATAGCACTTAGCACAATGCCTTGCACATAAGAATATTGCTATTTTCTGTTATTGTCCTCATTATATAACCATTAAGTGCATCAAGCATAATTTTTTTGTTGATTCCAAGAATAGTGGCAAAACAGAGAAACTAAAATGCTGATAAACTTTGAAAAGAGTCATGATGCTAGGAGGAAAGTATAATGGTTCCGGGATTGGTTTGTAGGTGGATTACCTACTTCCTCTTGCTTCTGAATTTGCATTTTCAACCTGACTATATGCTCTAGGCCAGATGGCCAGAGCAATAGCTGGCCAAAGGATAGAGAAGAAGAACCATATAGGTTTAGAATTTTCATGTGTGTCCCCCTGAACCCAGCACTAAATGTCACTCTCAGGCCCTGTTATTGCCATGAGACTCAGGCATACTTAGCTGGTTTCCAGATCACCGCCATCTCAGCTTCTTGTACAAGCTCTACCATCTTTCTTGTTCATTGCGTTTTACTCTGTAGAGTCCCGTGTTACTATAGGGTGTCAAAGCATATTGATGCCAAGTAAAGGCCACCCCAAAATTTTTAAGCTGCAAATATCTGTATTTAGATTCTTGTTCATTGCGTTTTACTCTGTAGAGTCCCGTGTTACTATAGGGTGTCAAAGCATATTGTTGCCAAGTAAAGGCCACCCCAAAATTTTTAAGCTGCAAATATCTGTATTTAGACCCTTAGTTATTCTCAATAAACAAACTCAGAAGGAAACTAGTGCCCTTTTAACCAGATGACTTGCTTCCAAGTGAATGATAAATATGCTAAATATGTTACCATCCATGGAAAAAAAGTGGTTTTAAAGACTCAGATTCAAATTTTAAAATAAACGAGAAGGATCTTCACCTTTCCCAGTAGGGTAATATGACTAGAATGTGTTTGTTGATGGTGTGTGTTGATCTCTGTCTTATTGAAAAATCTGCTTAAGTAACCTTTTTTCCTACTTTTCTATTTTGAAGATGACCTTTAGCATCTTTTAGGTCTTTAAGCATGAAATTTAAGTATGGTGTATAAAATGACTCTGCAGTGAGTCATTTTGTTTCATTTTCTTTCAAGGCACTGGCATTTCTTTATACCCTTGAGACAGGATCCCCTATGTCCTCTTACATTTCATTTGATTCGTAAAAGTCTAAATCCCACCCTGACAGTGTATGACTTAATTGCTTCCAACAGACTATTGATAACTGCTTACGAAGGACAGTAAGTGATTGTCTTATACATAATAGTGGAAAATTTTTGAAAATCAGATATCTCTGGTTTCATTTTAAAGGCCATGAAGGCTCCTGAACTGAAGGAGAAGCTTGAAGAATCTGAAAAGCTGATAAAAGAACTAACAGTGACTTGGGAAGAGAAGCTGAGGAAAACAGAAGAGATTGCACAGGTAGCTTGATAATTTAGGTGTAAAATATTTTGATTCTCTTTCGTTTTTTGTCTTTTCTATGTAGCCACCTGTCATGCTCAAAAAGTCTTTTAAGGTCATCTTTCTGCTAAACTAGAGACTGCAAAGATCAGTTTTAGACACTGATTTATGTCTTCTGTCACACTTACAGTTTGGTCCATGTACTTGCTAGAAATGTTAGGGAGCACCAAATTTGAACAGGCATGGTTACAGGAAATGTCTTTCATATTTCTTGCTCTTTACATTTAAACATAAATATGTTCTGTGATTTTTAGATCACCTGGCAAAGCATGAGGCTACCTGATTGGCAGAGAATTTATATCATATACAAGTAGCACGTATAGTTTTTTTAGTGTATTTGTTTCTTGGGGCTTGTTAGAAAATTGTATGAGATTTACTTGAGATGAAATATAAAGCAAGGACTGATTCTACAAGTGTATGTATTATGAATCTCTCTACACTGTGCATTTCATGAACATTTTAATCTCATTGACAATTGGGAAATATTGGACCATCCCAATCAGGTAGCTTAAAAGCAGTAACTGGAACCCAGTCCAGCCTCTGCTTATATGCTTCTTGTAGATAGATATCATTCATACACGTGTGCACACACACACACTCACATTTTTACACATACCCCCAGCTTTCTATCCCTCTTGTATTGCCTTATGTTTCTCCATAGCACTCAACAACACCATTGGAAATTCTATATTTACTTCTCTTTTTTTATGGTATATCTCTTTCCTCTAGAATATAAGTTTTTATAAAGGAAGGGACTTTGTTGTATTCACTGTTTTATTCCCAGCCCTACATCAGTACCTACCACATTATAGACTCTGATTAATATCTCTTGAATAAATGAATGCATGAATGAATTCAGGGTCTTCTTCAGTAGGGTCCCAACCTGCTCTTCTAGCCCCCTCTCCCACTACTTTCCCATCTTTGCTGGGGGTTCTTAGCCCCTGAAGATTAATATCTCTTGAATAAATGAATGCATGAATGAATTCAGGGTCTTCTTCAGTAGGGTCCAAACCTGCTCTTCTAGCCCCCTCTCCCACTACTTTCCCATCTTTGCTGGGGGTTCTTAGCCCCTGACATCATCTGGTATTCCCAGAGTCTTTACTGTGCATCCCTGTGCCCTGCCCCTAGAACACCCTGTCCTTATCTTGCTACTCCCCCATTTCTTGCTGTTGAAATTCTTCTTATTCTTAAAGAACCATCTCCAATGCATTCTCTTCCTGAAGCCTTTTCTGGTCTCTTAACCTATCAGGATCTCCCTCCTTCAGAGCCTATAATGGCACAGTGCTCTCCTTTTAGATTCTAGTTATGTGGTCTTGTCCCCTCTTGTAGACTCTAAGCCCCTTAAGGGCTGAGATGATGTTTGGTTCACCCTTGGTGCCACAGTAACACTGACACAAGATGTTATGCATCTTGTAGGCTCTCAGTAAACTTCGTTGAGCTGAGTGGTATGTGTAATTTCATTGGCATTGTCCCCAGAAACAGTGACTTACTCTTTCCATGGATACATCTAATGAATAGATCAACAAATAGAGTTTCCTGCTTTTGTCTGTTTTTGTGCCACAGGAGAGACAACGACAACTTGAAAGCATGGGGATTTCCCTGGAGACATCTGGTATCAAGGTGGGGGATGACAAATGCTACTTAGTCAACCTGAACGCAGACCCAGCTCTCAATGAACTTCTGGTCTATTATTTAAAGGTAAGAGAGTATATAAATAGATAGTTGCAATCCTTATTCATTCATGCACAATTCCCTGTTGAATCTGGGTGCCTGTTTCTGTGATTTTGCTATTTGTATCCACCTTAGCTCTCATTAAATTAGGAGGATTGACAGAACAGTCAGATCACCGTTGAGAATGAAAAACAACTATTTGAGGGCTGGCTGGTTAGCTCAGTTGGTTAGGGCATGGTGCTGATAACACCAAGGTCAAGGGTTCGGATTCCTAAACCATCCAACTACCAAAAAAAAAAGAAAGAAAGAAAGAAAAACAACTATATTTATCATCTTGTGGCTTTGCGATTGGGGTTGAGTTCCTGTGAATGCAGACTTCAGAGGGGCACCAGTGGGCAACTGAGGGTGTCAGAGTGATCCCAGCTACATGAGAAGGCTCCAAGTGTGAGATGTCAAGGATTCTGAGAATATCTGGATTCAGCCACAAAGATCCTGAGAAACTCTGGAGGTTCTCAGTTATGCTTCTGAGTAATTCTACAGAGATCTTGAAATCAACACGAGCCTAAATCAGACCCCTGTGCTAGGTTAGACAGCAAGGTTCTTCCAGCTACATCCTCAGGAAATTACTTTTGGTACCATAATCACCCTTCAAGTGCAGAGGTGGACTGTGACCTCTTGGAGTTGGCACTTTGGCCTCAGGGTTTGCCATGTTGGATACCTTATTGCAGTGGTTCTCAAACTTCCTGACTTCCGAACCCATTTACAGTCTTAAAAAGTATTGAAGACTTCAAAGAACTTTTGTGTATGTGGGTTATGTCTATCTATGTTTACCGTATTAGACATTAAGACTGAGAACATTTTCAAATACAAACATACAGCAATTAGTTTTCAGAGCTATGACATCATCACACATCCTGTGGCCTCCAGAGAATTCACTGTGCACACATGATAAAATCAGACAGCAAAGGTAAATAGCATCCTAGTATTTTTCTTAAAGTAGTTTTGACCTCATAGGCCTCCTGAAAGGTTCTCAGAGAACCCAGGGGTTCTCCGACCACACATTTAGAACTGCTGGTTAATTTTGTTAAGGGAGAAATAAGACATCTGTTTGAAATAGGGCACCTGATTGACATTGACATAGGGTACCCTGACTGACACAGGACATTCAGCTGCTCATGAAGGCATTTTTAACCCCCCCGCCCCCCACACACACACTTTCAAAGTTATGGTAGTATATAAATATGAGGGTACTTCAAAAAATTTGTGGAAAAATAGAATTAAAAGATAATACAAATCTTTCCACAAACTTTTTGAAGTGCCCTCGTTTATGTGATAGTATTTAAATAACTACCAAGGAACATAAACTGTCCACACACCTAAATCTCTAAAGGCAGAGGTATTACTCACTTGTGAGAAAGGTTAAATAGGTGCCTTAGGAAGGATTCTGATCTGCCTAGTGAATATACAAAATGCAATGGAGAGAATTGAAGCAAGGAGTCTCAATCTTCTATGATCCTTTTTACTCTTTCCAGAGACATAAAGACGATGCAGATAGCCCCTGACCTATTGAGAGTCTTCTAAAGGACTTAAAATCTGTTCATTTATGAATGAAATGATTAAGGCATTGTTTCTGAAATCTTAATTTTGAAAGATAAACCTTACACCTTCTTTGTTGGATAGGAAGGTATTATTATCATAGTGATAAAATGATTTTTAGAGCAATAGAAAAAATTGCTCTATGAATGAGCAGGTGTATTAGTCTGTTTCTGTTGCTTATAACAAAAATAGCTGGAACTGGGTAATTTAGAAAGAAAACAAAATGTATTGCTTACAGTTTCTGAGGCTGGGAAGTCCAAAGTCCATCTGTTTGTGGCGACAGTGGCTCAGGGGTCTCACATTGCAAGATGGTGGATGCAGAGAGAGAGATGACTCTCCTCTCCTTTTAAAGCCCTCCAGAACCACGCCCGACCACCATTATTAACCCATTCACTACTGCACGGTCCTACAATTCAATCACGTCTTCAAGGTCCCACCTTTCAATTACCATAATAGGATTTCCCACCCGCTTTAACAGTCACAGTGGGGGCTAAGTTTCTAATACATAAAACTTGAAACTTGGGAGACACAATTTTAGCTTCAATGAGTTTTTTGGGGGGGCATAATTCAATCCACTGCAACAGGGGATGAGCAATGACTGAATCACCAATAGGCACAGTCCTTGTTTGTGAGAGGGTCAAGGGACTTAAAATCACACTGATTTGTGATTTGTAATCCACAAGCTTCAATACTCTGTTATATTGGCATTGTATTAGAAACTCAGGGGCTGGCCTGTGGCTCACTTTGGAGAGCGTGGTGCTGAGAACACCAAGTCAAGGGTTAAGATCCCCTTACCAGTCATCTTTTTTTTTTTTTTTTTTTTTTTTTTAAACTCAAATATTTTTAGCATTTTAAAAGTTATATACTTGGGCTGGCTGGTTAGTTCATTCAGTAGAGCATGGTGCTGATAATATGAAAGTCAACAGTTTGGATTCCTGTACCAACCAGCTGCCAAAAATAAAAATGTTTATATGTTAAAATATGGGCCGGCCCGGTGGCGCACTGGATAGTGCGCCGCTTGGGAAGCGCGGCGGCACTCCCGCCCGAGGGTTCGGATCCCACATACAGACCGGTTCCCGCTCACTGGCTGAGCGAGGCGCGGGAGCAACACCGAGGGTTGCAATCCCGTTGCCGGTCCCCGGTCCGGTACGGGGGCAACACTGAGGGTTGCGATCCGTTGCCGGACACAGAAAAAGACAAAAAAAATAAAAATAAAAAATGAAAAAGACAAAAAAAAAAAATATGACTTCACAGGGCTGGCTGATTAGCTCAGCTGGTTAGAGAGCAGCCTCGTAACACCAAGAGCAAGGGTTCAGATCCCTGTACCAGCCAGACACCAAAATACATAAATAAAATATGATTTTTCATGAAACTGCTTTTTAGTGGTTCTAAATTTATATAACTGTTTTCCAAACACTTTCACTGTTAACTCAGATGGTCCTTAAAAGAATCATGTCAAGTAGATCAAATAGATAATATCGTCTTAGTTTTGCAAAGTAAGAAACTGAGGTGCAGAGAATAAAATGGCCGGCCTGTGATAATTTAAATACTAAGTGGACAAGTCACAATTGGAACACATGGTATTCTACTGTCAAGTCCAATTTCTTTATATTTTAAAACAATATCTAATCACTGTTGATCAAGTATTTTTTCTTTTCATAGTATTTAAACTCTTTTTTTTCCCAAAAAAATTACTGTGTTAAGGTAAAGCTTTTAATTTCTAACCTTCATATATCTAGTGTGAATTATCTAGTACTGTCGTGCATATGCTGCTGGTTTACTGAAATTGATTGCAACAAATTTTCATTGAGTTACCTATAAGTGTGAGGTTTTTTGTTTGTTTTTTTAATCCATTAATAGGATCATACCAGGGTGGGTGCAGATACCTCTCAGGATATCCAGCTCTTTGGCATAGGTATTCAGTCTGAGCACTGTGAGATCGACATTGCATCTGATGGAGATGTCACTCTTACTCCGAAGGAAAATGCAAGGTAATAAAAGTAAACAGCAACTTCACATATCTTGTGCGCCTTATTTTCAGGAGGAGGCTGCCTCTCTCTGTTTGTTTGCTTGAGTTATGTCAAAGTTAAGGATATACTGGGTCCTCAGGGTATTTGTTTTCCTATTGTAGACGGGGTATAGCAACATTTAAGAGCACCAGCTCTATTATTATCAATAAAACCTTAGTCACCAGTGTTGAAATATTACTATGAAGGAGTGATTATTTTCCTGTGTGAGTTCTGGTTGTACTAGAACTCTGTAACTCTGAGCTTTAGAGCCCTATAAAGATTAGGAGTCAGGTAATGAGATTATGTGAGAAAAGTAACTTATTGGAAAATTAAAACTCAAAATAATATTATGTTTTTTCCATCAAACTACCCCTGACAATCCTTTAGCAGATTAACCTTTAATTAATTCATTAATTACCCCCCTCCATGTTTTGTTTTGTTTTTAAATTACCAGCAAAACCTCTGCTTTTAGGCAGGGGGAACATTAATGAGAAGACTAAAATTGTCAGTGCTAAAAAATTCCAAAGGACTTTTCCTCCACCCTGAAAAACAGTCAGTGACAATGCTTTAACTGTGTCAAAGGATCAGTTGATGAGATCTTCTAATAAGCAGGAAACCCTACAAAATCTTTTGCAGTGTGTTATTCAGCCTACTGACTTCACAGCCCATTGACAGCCAGTAAGCTGTAGCAAAGTTGCAATGTAAGGAAAGCCTGCAGTGTTGAAAGACCTCCTCTAAATGTCAACAGGGCAGAGTTGCTGCTGCTTCAAGACTTGTTTCGGACAAGCCCGAGACGCATAAGCAAACCGAGAGACACAGTGCACATCATTTATGGTGTGCTATCTGCAAAGTAACAAACACTGGCAGAGTTGTCTCCCTGCCCTCAGTTATTTGTTTTATTTCTACGGTTTGTTTGATAGGTTTTTAGGATTTAAGACCGGTATTCTTTTCATGTTTGCTCCCAAGTTCTTACTATGGGCAATTTCAAACATATGAAAGTGGAGAGAATAGTATAACAAATCCCCGTGTATCTATCATCCAGCTTGAAAAATGAGCACCTTATAGACAATTTTGTTTAATTTATATACCTTCCATATCTCCTCCCTCCCCTCTGGATTATTTTAAAGCAAATTTCAGATATTATAACATTGTATTCATAAGTATCTGAGTACATATCTCTAAAAGATAAAGGTCCTTAAACATAGTTTCAATACCATCACACCTCAAATAATTAACAGTAATTCCTTATTAAGCATTATATGTCTAGCCAGTGTTTAAATTTCACCAGTTGTCTCATAAATGTTATTTGTCAGCTGTTTCTTGACATTAGGATCCAGGTAAGATTCAATGACTGCTGTTTTTTTAATATGTCTTTTAGATCTCTTTTAGCATATGGGTTTCTCCTTCCTTTCTTCCTGTGTATGTATATCTAACAGTTTCTCTCTCCTTTCTCTCATCCTCTTCTCTCCGCCCCCTCATTTTCCTTGTATTTCATTTGTTGACAACCTAGTTGTTGGTCCTAGAGTTTCTCACAGTTAGGATTTTGCTCACTGCATCCCATGGTGTCATTTAACATCGTCCACTGTCCTCTTTATTTCCTAAATTGACATTTAGATATAGCAGCTTAGTCAGCTTCATCTCAAATTTTGACAAGAATATCCCATAGGTGGTGTTTTCTCTCCCCATCAGGAGCTCATTAGGTCAGATTGTCACTGTTTAGTGTCATTGGCAGCCCTTGATCATCATTGCTTACATTGTGTGTTTTGATAGTGGTTATAAATTCTGTTATGTCTTCTTCATGTATTAATTGGAATACATCTATTAAGAGAGTTTTCCCCCATTTATCTCTTTGGCTACTGGGTCTGGGTGTTGTGCTATTTCCCATTCACCTGATGACTTCCCCATGTTCTTTCAGGTCCTGTGTAAATGGCACCCTGGTGTGCAGTACCACCCAGCTGTGGCATGGCGATAGAATCCTGTGGGGAAATAACCACTTTTTTAGGTAAAATCTTTGTGTTCTCTATTTTCTTATACATTTTTTTCTGTTATTTATTTAAGTGTCAATTTACTCTAATGGTGAAAAACCCCACAGAATTAATTTACCTAAGAGGAAACGTCGAGATTGGTTGAAAGACTTTGAAAAAGAAACGGGTCCTCCAGAGCATGACCTGGATGCAGCCAGCGAGGCTTCCTCAGAACCGGACTATAACTATGAGTTTGCACAGATGGAAGTTATCATGAAAACGCTGAATAGCAATGGTAAGACCCTAACTGTATTCCAGCATCATGGGCAGTTAGTTCCTCATCTCATACCTTTCCATGAGGGATAAGTATGTATAGAATTGAAGTCTCATTCTGAAATTTAGAAACATAAAATTGTTAATGTTCTAAAAAGGCCATCATTGAAGAGCTAATGGAAAGATTTCAGGGGATGGTCTTCTCCATCAGGTATTACCAGAAAGTGTATGGTCCCTTTTTTCTTTTTATTTTTTTTTTGGAGGTGGGGGGTAGGGAGGTGCAGCTGGCTGTAATGGGGATCCAAACCCTTGACCTTAGTTTTATTATGTCAAATGTCATGCTCTAACCAACTGAGGTGCCAGCTCCTGTCCCTTTTTTTGAGATCCGTTATTCCCAAGCCAGTTGTGGTAACATCTTCATGATTCTTTGAGTACTGAATGATTTTGACAGTATTCCTTATCAAATTGCCTGTTATTGAGCCTGTCATTTCTGAATCCTTGAGAGTATGAAAATCCCCAAGAGAATATGAATACAGGAATTTCAAGTAGAATCTAATGGAGAGGAAAAAATCAAAACATTTTACTGTGAATTCAACTGGAAATTGTACCTGCAATGAGACTTATTTAATAAGCTGCAGTAACTTTTACAAAAATGACAGTTAAAATGAAGTGCCTTATAGGCTTTACTTGACCTACACTTCACCCTGTCTCAGATCTCTGAAGAAGAGATTCTCCTTAAAGCATTATTTCTGGATCCCTCTTTCTAGGAGGTTTTCAGTGTTTATATTAAAGTTCTTTCTCTCTGTATCTCAAAGTCAGTATTCCATTTTACCTCCTCTTTTGTCCTCTCTGCTTATACACACCTGCATGCATTCAGTAAAATAAAACATCAGACTCTTTCCTTGCTTGCCATTTTATAAATCTGCCACTTCCTTTTCCCATCTCCCGATTTCCTAATTCCCAGACTTGGTGCCTGGGATTTAAAAGCCAAATGGGAAAGTTCCCTTTTTTGTCAGGCACAAGACCGCATTTTTGGGACTAGAACTATTTTACAAGGATGAAATTGAGGCTACATTTAGGGGCACCTGAGAAAGTTTCTGGGCTCCTTCCAACCTCACTTTCCCATTCATCTGTTATTGGGGCACCTAAGGATCCCTAATTTGGACCAGGAAGGACTTCCAGGACCCTAGGGCCCTAAGACGGTCAGCCTCTACCTGACTCTGACAGGGGGCATGGAGAGCATTTTGTTTTTGACACTTGAGCTCTTCCCTTAAACATTGACTTTCTCACTCTGCTCTTTGAATAAGCCTATGTGGGAAGACTTTGAGCATGGCTAGAGAACTGTCAGTCAGATCTCTGGCATATCAGATTGGGGATTCTGTTGCAGGAATAAAGACTGACCCTCTTATTGATCTCTATTTGTGGATTTTTAGCCACAGGGACCCCTTTTTAAAATTATAATAATGATAATAATGAAGTATAAAGAAAAGACCAGACTGTGTATAATGTATTTATATAGAACCACACTAAAAAGAAAAAAAAAACTTTCTGAAAGAAGTTTGATAATTTCTTTTTAAAACATTAAAATTAGGGTATTACCATTGGCTGCTGGGGCTTTTGACGCTGCATGGTGGACCACAGCTAGAAATCAAGCTTTGATCCACTCTGATAATGGCCCACCAATTGGGAGGAATCCCAGAAGACATTCCGAAGTGATGTTCAGACATTAGAATCATGCTTATGATCCATCATTATTCAATGAGTCATTAAATGGGGTTATTTAACAACACAACTGAGCAGCAGGTCTCCTGTGAGTGATTTTCTGGAAGCCTTAGTGGCTACATGTTGTGGCAGGGTATGACAGGAGGAAGTATGCACCAAACTCCAGGTGTAGGAACCCCCATTTGGAGAGAACTTATTTCTTCAGATGAGTCTATAGAATTCTAGATGTCTCCATTCTTTAATTCTGCAGAGTATCCAGGTGGTATCAATTTAATCGTTTATCCATCCCAGACCACAGATTTATGATTTTATCCAATTGCTACCTTCTTACATATAAATTAAACCCCTGAGTAACCAGTGAGTATTGAGTAAGCATTTGTTAATTCCCCAAGTCCTCTTGGCCAAACTAGAGTCATCAGTGGCCTGGCTCTTGGTCTTAACATGAGTTATTCATTTGTGTCCCAGGTCAGGTCTTGCTCTCCAGTGTTGATTTTGTCTGCATAAAGTAATGTTTCCCCCTTGTCAACCCCATACCCAATTCCATTGGTAAATGTATCTTCCCTCTGGGGCGCACAGACATGCTCCAATACAAGTGCTAACTTGCTGGTGGCCAGACAGTGATCACAAGATTTACCTCTACTACTAGGTGGTTTCCCAATAATAAGTCTGTCTGCTTGGTGGTCGTCCCCTTGGTGGTCCTATTTGAAGATTCTCTTCCCTCTCATGTGGTTCCAGACGAAGCTTCTCCACAAGCACTGGGATAAAGGTTTTCAACTGACTGGCATTAGCATGAGGGAGCTTGACTGGTTTTTAGCAGTGCTGCTGATTGATGCTTGTGCTACATGCTTTGGCAAAATCTAACATACATAATTGGGAAGAAGCCGAAGTTTTCTGCTTGATGAACGTACTCTGTATTCTTGATTGAGGAACGTTCCTTTTCAGTGATGACCCACCCCCATGTCCCAATCCTGTTACCTTGCCAATAGTTCAAATCTGACAGCTGTTCTTTTCCCTTTGCATCCAACAGCACTGAAAAGTATTATTGGTATTATCACTACTGTTACTGATGGCTTTATTGCTATTGACAGCACAACAGTTCAGGGCAGTAGTACTGCCAGATGTATATTCACCTACATTAGCGCAGTAGTAGACTAGAATAACGTTTTTTTGAGTCTCTAGGGTAAATACTGCTCTAAAACCCAATTCATTTGAATTAAAAGGAAAAGGCAAATAGACTTTTTCCCCAAGCATTCAAAATAAGAATCAGACACTCATCTGTTTTTGCAGAGTCAATGGTAGCTCTAAAATAAAGAGCAATTAAGGGGCTGGCAAAGGGTCAGAGAGCCAATTTATTCCATCTGGGATTAAAACTTCTTCTTTTCCCTAAGGATCTTACTTTCCTTCAATTCAGTCCTTTCAACATCTTGATGTGAATTAATTTCAGTTCTCTTTCTCACATAAATACCCTCTGACCAGCACCACTACCACCACCATCCTCTCTGCCATTCTCGAGATGATAGGTCAGATTGAGCTCATTTCATAGTTTCCTACCGGGAAAGGGTAAACTAATGAAGAAGAGAAGGTGTTATGCCCAAAGTAAATGTGGTTCTTTCTCTCTTCCTAAAATATTTACCTCTTTGATATCTTGGCCTTAGGTATGAGGCTCACCGAATTTTAAAACAGTTCATTCAAGAAGAGGAAAGTGATGGGGAGGTGGGTGTGGAGGGGAATAAAACTGCAAACAATCTCCTGGTATTTGATTGCTTATTTGAGAACAGACCAAATAATCTTTGGCTTCTATCCTGTACTACTTTATAGAGTCAGATTGACTAACTGATTAGGATGCTCTGTTTAAAAATATGCTGTGTATGGGCCAGCCCGGTGGCGCACTCGGTAGAGTGCGGTGCTTGGGAGCGCGGCAGCGCTCCCGCCAAGGGTTCGGATCCCATATAGAGACCGGTCCGCTCACTGGTTGAGCGCGGTGCGGGCGCGACACCGAGGGTTGCGATCCCGTTGCCGGTCGCGGTACGGGCGTGACACTGAGGATTGCGATCCTGTTAACAGTCACGAAAAAAGACAAAAAGGAAAAACAAAAAAATATGCTGTGTACAGTTTCAAGGCTTCAAAGTGGTTAATTGATTTGAAAAGAAATTGTTATCAAAGATGTTTATGAGAAAGGTGTTTCCAGACTGGTGTTGGGATCAGAGGTAAAACAAAAACCCCGCACTTAGGCCTCCACCAGGTTTGTGGGGGACCAGGGCAGAGCTGGGAGTATCCAGCGTGGGGCTTACGGGGCTGTCCTGTGGGGATTACGGGGGAAGAACACATCGAGCTGCTCTCTCTTCCACATCTGCATGTTGATTTGTGGCCACTGATGAAGGCTAGTGAGTAGTGTCTGTGCTACGTCATGGCAGCTGCCAATGCATTTTTAAAGAGCCCCAGTCATGTGGCCTCTACATTGGCACGGAACCTGGTGTGTTTTAAAATGGTGTGTTTTCCACTGTTTCTGGAAAAGATTCATAAACACTAAGTTAGGACAGTTAGGATCCTTCAAAGTAAGGCTCTCTGTAAATATAAGTAGATGGTGAGCACCCTGTCCTTTCTTTTTAAACTGTTTGAGAAATATATATTTTAAAAGTTCTGAGAGAACTTTTCTTCTCTAGCTCTTAAATTTAAAACTTTTTCAGACTCAAAAAAGTTCACCGTATTCCTCATATTTTCTTCAGAAGTTAAAGGGACATGTCAGAGGGTTCTAATGCTTTGGAAAACATAGATTGTTACTCTAATAGAAAATATTCACCCACCATGATCTGCCTTTGTGTAAGGGGTTTTTTGTTTGTTTTTAGTTTATTTTCCATCAGTTTTTAGATGATACACTTTGGGGACTCTGTCAGGACTCTATAGAAAAACTATTCTACTTCTTTTAAAAATACTGAATTTTAGAGTTTTATATCAGCAAAGAACAGTTTTTTTTTTTTTTTTTAAGTATCTACTCTTGTTTTGTTTGTTTATTTGGCAGTTAGCCAGTACAGGGATCCAAACCCTTGAACTTGGTGTTATTAGTATCACATTCTAACCAAGTGTGCTAACTGGCCAGCCCTAAAGTACCTACTCTTTAACAGAGTACTAATTCTAGGTGGAACATTGGGGGTAAAAATACTACATCAATTTATTACCAAGTTAATGTCTTACCTCAGTGTATTAGTCTGTTTCTGTTGCTTACACCCAAGTACCAATAACTCGGGTGATTTGTAAAAAAATGAAATTTATTGCTTGCAGTTTCTGAGGCTGGGAAGTCCAAAGTTCAGGGAACACATCTGGTGAGGATCTTCTCATTTGGTGAAGTGGCTTTACAGCAATGCAGGGGTCTCACATGGCAGGAAGTGGTGGAGCAGAGAGAGAGAGACTCTCACGTGCTCTTCTTTTAAAGCCCTCAGAACCATGCCCCTGACTACTATTATTAATCCATTCATTAGGACATGGTCCTACAGTCTAATCACCTCTTCAAGGCCCCACCTTTCAATTACCATAATAGGATTTCCCACCCTCAACAATTACAGTGGGAATTAAGCTTCTAATGTGTGAACTTTGGGGGACAAAATTCAATCAATCCACAGCTCCTAGCTAATTAGCAAATTAGTGATCTGAGTTCAAAACCTAGATGTGTCACTGATTAGCTATGTGATCTTAAGTCAGCTACTTAGCCCTTTTCAGTCCCAGTTTCCTCATCTTTAAAATTACGATGGGGCTGGCCAGTTAGCTCAGTTGCTTAGAGCATGGCACTGATAACACCAAGGTCCAAGGTTTTATCCCTGTACTGACCAGCCACTGGAAAAAAAAAAAGAAAATCAGGATGGTATCCACCCTTAGATGTGTTGCAAGGCTTTCATGAGATGATGCATGCAAAGGGTGTGGAACTTGCAGCTGAGATGTAGCCAGTAGGTAGTAGGGTTATTGTTGCCATGGCACTTGTCATTTTTATTAAAATGACGCACTTATGCTGAGCATATCTTGTAATTTTTAAAAATTGCTTGTTACTTTCTGTTTTGCATTATTTAACCTTACTTTTTTAGGCTAACGTGTTATCTTTTCTCTTAATGCTAGTATAGAAAATTAGTGCAATTTACATGTTTATTTCGCAAATTAATATGGTACTTTGGAAAAGTCAGTCCATAGCCATCATCAGGTAGTTCTTGCATAAAAATTTTCCTGAGTCACTTAAATTTCCAACTTCATTCCTGGAAGTTAAACTGAGAGCCAGTGTGTGGGAATATAGCATGAGTAATACCAAATAGCAGACAAGCATGTGAGTGTACAAGGAGGAAATTATGTCCCAGGTCAGTCTGAGAATACAGATCCTCTCTCATTCCCAGGAACTTCTTGGTGATTTTCTTGTTCTACCACCAAGATTGTCCAACATACTGTTTCTCTACAGTCTGTATACTCAGGGATGTCAGTAACTTTTTTCTTTGTACATGAGGCCAGTGCGTCTTTCTCAATGGCATCTAGCTCATTGGTCATTGGCAAGCTAATGTCCTGCCCAGCCAATTAACTCTTTAGAGTCAAGTCCCACTTACACCACAACCACTAGTCATCATAGTGGCCCCTTTGAGCAAGATCTGTTTGTATGTCTGTACCTGTTCACCTGTTGTGTGATGGTGATCCCTTTAACAGCACCAATAAGATGTCAGATGCAGGTTCTTATTACTTTTGCAAGTGAATTGCCCTCTTAGCACCTGAGAAATTGCCAGACCATATACTCAGTCAGTATTTTCAGAAATGTGCTGTGACCCGTAAACTTCTTCCCATCTCAGAGAAATTCAAGAGTAATAAGATTTGTGATGAAAATCATAAACCCTGTCATACACTAAAACCGATGTTAAATGGTCGTAAAATCGACTACCATGAAAAACAAATCTTGCGTACTTCCATCTTTGGAGGTGTTCTAGATGTCATAAAGTTTATTCAGTGGATAGATCACATCCCTTTCTCCTCCACTATCTGCTGATTAATGATCTATCTATACATTAGGATGAGATCATCAAATTAAAGAAAGTAACATAGTGGATGTTTATCTAAAATGTTCGTAAAAAAGAAATTGAGAGGATTTCATCAGAGGAGGCTCCTCAGGCCTCTCACAAGTGTACCGACTGGCAGATTCTGGGGTAGGAGATGGCTCTTGTGCAATGAAGCCCTGGCCAGCTGCAGTGCCCGGCATGGATGGCTGTCTTAGCCACCACTGAAGACACCTTGCCTTATCTCTTGGCTCACCAGACCCAGTTCAAAATGTGGTTCAGGTCCTGGAGAAACAATACCTAGAAGAAAAAAGGAGTGCCCTGGAGGAGCAGCGGCTCATGTATGAGCGGGAGCTGGAGCAACTCCGCCAGCAGCTCTCCCCCGAGAGGCAGCCACAGAGCAGTGGCCCTGATCGCCTGGCCTACAGCAGCCAGACAGCTCAGCAGAAGGTGACCCAGTGGGCAGAGGAGAGGTAAGAACGGGGACCTGGGTGACCCAGAGTCAAGGCTGCAGGGCCACAGGGCTTTGGGTGAGGGACTCATGAGGCCTGTCTTTCCTAGCAAAGAAGGAAATCTTGGTTCCATATCTGATTTGTTGGCAGTTGGCTTTTCCTTTCAAATATATTGCCCATCCTAAGTATGTTTACTATAATGTCAGCTGTTAAAGACCCCCTTACCCCATCCTTTACTCTTAGTAAAAATGGAACCAAGGTAGTTTGAATAATTTTTGCTATGCCTGGGAGAAATGGACAAAGGTTTATGAGATGGTGCTTTTTCTGAAGAGCTACCTTTTCCACATTTACTGCGAGCTGGTGGCTTTAATCTTAAGCAACACCCAGCTTGAAGGTAATTGGTACCCATTGATAACCTCTATTTACTAAAGAATATAAAAGAGAAAAGCAAACATATCTGATAGAGAAGGTGGGTTGCTTTTAAAAATAGTGTTTTTCAGTTAAACGTTACATTTTTTTTCACTTCCTTTAATTCCAGATTGATTTTCTTTGGGGCTTAAGTTTTTAAAAAAGGAATAGAGAATAGAGGGACATGTTTTGAGAATGTCATTCAAAGAGATAAGAATGAGGGATGGCCGTTTAGCTCAGGCAGTAAGAGCATGGCGCTCCAACACCAAGGCCCAGGATTCAATCCCATACTAACCAGCCACTTAAAAAAAAAAGAAAAGAAAGAAACACAGAGAGATAAGAATGGTTACAATACTAATTTCACCAAGTTTTGCTGGATAAAATTAAGATGTTATTAGCGGTGGATGGTTTTGTAAGAAGTAAATGTTGATGGGTTGTGAAATAATGAAGGTCTTCTACCTACGTAGACGTTGAGGGACAGAGAATCAAGTATATTTAAGACCTGGTGAGAATTACAAAGAAACTAGAAATGTAGTTTATTCTCTCTGCCAATTGAAATGTAGAGCAAGATATAAATAATGTGAAAAATTAAATTATAATAGTAATTTAAAGAACAGTTTTGTTAACAATAGGAATTGTTACAGTTACGTAGTTATTTGTTTGTTGTCTCTTTCCTCCCCTGGAGTAGGGAAAATGTTTCATTCATCAAAGTATCCCTAGAGCCTAGAATGATATGGTCACATGGTAGATACTTAGTCAACATCTTATGTATTGATTGTGTGAATTTATTGAAGTGACAGGCAAGTATGTGATTGTCAGGTGGGCAGAGCACACAGTAAGTTTGCTGGTTGTTCAGTGGAGGACAAGACTCCAGAAAAGTGGAATCTTCTGCAGAGATTTTCATGGAGAAGGAAGGATTTCAAGTGAGTTTCAAAGGTGGAGTTTGAATAGGCAGAGAGAAGAGGAGGGCATTTTGGATGGACAGGTTAGCACAAACAGATGGGAAGCAATGGAGAAGAGTAAGTTGTATTTGGGGGTTGTAAGAGAACTTTTGTTTGGTCTAGAAGGTGATTTATAGAGAAGTAGGGAGAATTTAAGTCCAAAACTATTGGATAAGGTGTGTGGGAGGCATATGGACTTGAATGTTGAAGATTTATCCTTTCGGAGAAGAGGAACCCCTGCAAAGTTTTGAGCCGTGAATGGCCTGAGGAAGGCAGGGGTCTTTATAAGGACTGTCTTATAATGGAAGAGGAAGAGACTGGGTGCTGCAAGATTATTGGGAGGACATGAACCAGGGGTATGAGAAACAGAGAGAGAGATTTAAGTTGTGTTTCAAAGGAAGAGTCAAGAAGGCTGTGTTTGTTTTTATTGTGTGTGTGTGTATGGATATTGTGGAAAAAGAGAAAAGGCTGTGCTCATTGAAAGAATCCAAGCCTGGGTGATTGAAAATGGTAATACCATTTAGAAAAACCATTGTGTCTATTTTAGCATCCTCGCAGTGCGCCTGCTCTGTCACTTCTAAAGTGAAGAGAGAGGAGTAGAAGAGATTTGGATGCGCCAAGCTCATTTTCCATAGAGTAAGAACAGGGGGTATATAAATGGTAGAAAAGAGAAGCTATATAAGGCACAGAGCAACCACTAGGCTGGATTACCTTTGAACCCAGATTCAAATGTGAAATCCATAAGTACTCTTTTCTTTCATTGGGTGGGTATTTTTGGAATGCCCTACAGATGGGCCATGCATTCCGTTAGGAACTAAGTGTAGTGGCAAGTGAAAAAGCTGTGGTGCCTGCTCAGGGAGCACACACAACCTAGAGGGGGGAGGCAGACATTAGTCAAATAATTATAGAAATAAATGAAAAGTTGTAACTGACAAATGCTATGGAGGCAAGAGACATGGCTGAGAGAACATATAATAGGATTTTGACCAAGTCAGTGTGTTATGAGAGAAGCTTTTTATCAGCAAGTGCTATTGTATGGAGAGTTGAAAGAGAATTCTTGCTGCTAAGGAAGTGCTTTACACACACACACACACACACACACACACACACACACACACACACACACACACACACACACACACACACACCCCCCCCCCCCCCCCCCCCCCCCCCCCCCCCCCCCCCCCCCCCCCCCCCCCCCCCCCCCCCCCCCCCCCCCCCCCCCCCCCCCCCCCCCCCCCC